ATATATAATATATATATACCAGGCGAATGCCATTGATATACTGGGAATGTTCGATGGTGCCTCCGACTAAGCCTAAGACCAAATTATTCCAATATTCGTCCAACTGCCCCGCCCGAGTTTGAAACGGCGTTAAGCGGTATTCTAAATGCCCGCCTTGGCTGTTTTCAGGGTCTTCCCACATCGGCTGGATCCCTTCTCTGTACACACGTACTTCATATTCTATTCTATTCTATTCTATTCTATTCTATTGATTTTATTATTCTATTCTTTTATTCTTTTATTATTTTTTTGTGTTGTATTATAGTATATTATTGTATTAGATTATATTATATTATATTTGATTATTTTATTTTATTATTATGTTATTATTATGTTGCATTATTATATTATGATAATATTATATATATCGTTGTGTTGTATTGTTGTATTATTATGATATTATGTTGTTATTAGTAAATACCAGTTTATACATATAAACATATATAAAACAAATAGAAATAATAATATAAAAATATAAAATATATTATCAAAACAAATAAAGATGTACAAATCAAATGAACAAAGGCAACCATGAGGAAAACCCTAAAGCATCTGATGTCAGGACATAAACAAACCCTAAACCCTAAACCCTAAACCCTACAAACTAAACCCTAAACCCCAAACACCTCAAATGATATAATAAAACGTCAATTATAAATAAAAAGTAAATACAAATAAACAGACAATCAGCTAGCTGCAAGTAAACCACCGCAAACACAGAGGGAGAGCAAACAAACAAAACAAACAAAATATAAAACAAACAAACAAATATAAAACAAACAAATATAAAACAAACAAACAAATACTAAAGAGAGAAAAAGAAAGACAATGTCCTGACTTGAATATCATCAAGGCGTCAACAACGTGGCTCCTTCCGTTGTTATCTTGCCGAACCATTCTGCACACAAACCCTAAACCCTAAACCCTAAACCCTAAACCCTAAACCCTAAGCTGCATGCAATATAAACCGATATGAATAACGAGGATGGTGGCTCTAAACCCTAAACCCTAAAACCCTAAACCCTCAATAAACACTTTACAAAAACAAATAAACAAATATGTTAAACACTAAAAACCGCAGCAAAAATCGTACGCCTGCATAAACAAACCCTAAACCCTAAACCCTTAAACCTTAAACCCTAAACCCTAAACCCTAAACCAACCTCTTATGCCCCAGGAGTTCGCTGGGCTGAGGAATATGCGCCCATAGTTGCCAGAAGGTCTGCAGCAACCACACAAACCCTAAACCCTAAACCCTAAACCCTAAAAAAAAGCTGCTAGATGACAAGGAGAGAAACATAAACAAAACAACGGAAGAAGTATATGAGATAAACAAACGATGAAGAGAGACAAACTGATAAAAAGAAGAGAGGCAAACAAACAAACACAAAAAACAAAGACAGACAGCCTTTTCTTGCTGTTTATTCGCACTTCATCTCTTCAACCTCCTCACTCAAGGGTTTAGGGTTTATTAGGGTATAATAGCGATTAGGGTTTATCAACATTACTATAAACATAGAAACAATATATATATGTATATATACATATATATATATATATACATATCTATATCAGTTTTAAAACAATATATATATATATATAAATAAACAAATATATATACATATATACATATATATACGAGTTTCAAAGCAATAAATAAATAAATAAATATATAAATAAATATCTATATATCAGTTTAAAAACAATATAAATTATATATAATATATATATATACATAATATATATAATATATATATAATATATATATTAACAGTATCGAAGGAAGCCAAGTCGCGAGTGTTTTGCGAGTAATCTGCGGCTCTGTCTACCGGCGTCGTCTCTCTTTGAATCTGCTCCCAGACGTGCCAGCGGTGCTGCAGCGGCAACGGAGAGTCTGCAGGACGCTCCTATAAACAAATAAATAAATAATATTATATAAATATTATATAAATATTATTATTTAATATCATATAATATAAGAGAGTTTAGTTATTATCTACTTTTTAATAGTTCATACACATTATATCATATATGTGCCAACGGTGATGCAGCGGTAAGGGCGACTCTGCAGGATAAATAAATAAATAAATAAATAACTATTATAATATAATATAATATAATATAATAGAGTAATAATATTATATAATATAGTAATCATATATTTAATATCTATAATATACTATATACGCAATATATACTATATATACATATGTATATAAATATATATTATATATATGTATGTTGTATATATTATATAACAAACAATTTTTTGTGTATTAAAGGAAAAAAACAAAGCGCAAATGCAGACAGAAACAAACAAAGAAAAAACAAACAAAATCTAAGAAAGATAAATGAAGACAGGGATCAGATAGAGAGACAGCAATCATAAACCCTAAACCCTAAACCCTAAACCCTCAGCGTAAATGCAAAATAAAGCCTCAAAGAATAGAAGCAACAGGCAGCAGCAACGAAGAAAGACAAACCCCAACACTGCACAATCTGCTGCTGACTCGCTTTCATACAACAGCAGCAACAGCAGCAACAACAGCAGCTGAAGAGGAAACAGCAGCTGCTGCTGAAACAGCAGCAACGAATGCAACCTGGGGAGTTAATGTCGCTTGTGCTGCTGCTGCTGCTGCTGCTGCCGCCGCCGCACCAAACGGAGCAAACAACAACGCAAAAGCAGCAGCAAGAGCAGCAGCAACGGCAGGAGCAGCAGCAGAAGCAACGACATCAGCAACAGGAGATTACCTCTGTTATGCATTCGTCAAGATTTACTGCATCTGAAACAGAAGGGTTGAAGGAAAGGAAACGCGTCGCCATGGTGAGA